TGAAAAAAAACGTATTCATTATTTATTTAACGGATTTTTTTACTTTCCTTCACTGATACTTTTCCATCACATCAGAAACAACAACAACAACAACAAAAATATCAATCAGTTATGCAATGAAAATCAAATGAAAATTTTAAAAACGTGTGAAAAATTCCATTTATCATCAAATGTAATAAAAGTTTTCTTTTGCTTTTTTTTTTGCAAAAAGGAAAATTTTTCCATTAAACTTTTTTTTCCTTTGAAATACATTTTAAGGAAAATTTAATTTGAAATTTTTCTTTCTTAAACAAACCTTGAAAAAAACACATTCTTAAGCAATTACGACAAACAAACAAACAAAATTCATAATTCCAAATGATTGAATAATTGAAAATCTTTTTTTTCCTAAGAAAAAAAACGAAAGAATACCCCGAAAGAAAAACAAACCATGCTACTATGTTTCTGAAAAAAATGAACATATTTATTTGTATGGACGACGACATCGACAACAAAAACTTATTCAAACATCGATTGTTTGATCGATTTACTTGAATAAATTGAACATACATACACACATTCAAAACTGATGATATATTCACTATAGAAAGTTCCGGTGTTTGTTTTCCAAATATTTACCCAGAAAAAGAAAAAGAAGAAAAAAAATTTGTCTTATAAATAGTTTGAAAAAAAGGAACAACAACAGCAAAAAATTTTTTCCCATTTTCAAGGTTAAAACATTATGTATTTTTTCAAAACAACAAAAAAAAAAAATTTCTATTTTGAATTTTTGTATTCAATTTCCTTGTTTAACATTTTCAACATGAAACACACAGAAACCATTCAACAACAAAAAAAAATGAAACAAAAAAATCATTATTCAATCAATAATTATTCAACTATTTCGATCCGAATGGCTTTTTTCCCCCCCCCGAAAAAAAACTAAATTATTATTATTATTATTTTGTTATTGAAATGTAAGACCTTGTAATTCAATGTCGTCCAGAATAATAATAATAATCAAAATCGATTCGGGAAAAAAAAGATACAGGGAACATACAAAAATTCAGTGTTGGGAAAAAAAATTGATAAGCAGGTGAATGTTTAACAACAACAACAACAACAATGAAAAAAACAAAACAATCAATTTAGCTTTCGGAATTTCATTTCGAAATTTTCTCCTATTTTTAACCCATCATGCATTTTATATTATTCTTCTTTTTTTTAATGGTAATAATGACCATCATGTTAAATTGTTTTCATATTCATTATTTAGATCAAATATAGTCAATGAAGAAGAAGAAAAAGAAGAAGAAGAAGCCAAAGATAAAGAATCGAAACAAAAGGCTAGAAAGAAGAAAATTTATGGCATGTTTTTATTATTATTCAAGGTATTCATTCATTCACCTAACAGGTAAACAGCTATAGATTATTTATAATTGTAAATGAAAAACAATTCCATACAGATTCTGTGTGTGTGTGTATTACAGAATATTCTTTCTTTGTGTTTGATTATTATTATTATTATTATTCAGTTCAATTCTTTATGGTTGGTCAATTTCATTCATAAATATCGTTTTACATAATTATTCGTGTGATGATGGCTATTTTTGGGATTGATCATCATCATTATTATTATCATTAGTTAGTTTTGTTTGGTTGGTTGCTTAGTGTTATTATTTTTTTTTTTTTTTTTTTTTTTTGCAAATTTTTTTTGGAAAAAAAAAAAGGGAT